CCGGGAGAGCCGCGGCCCCGGCGCGACGCGGGGCGGCGGAGCCGTCAGCAGCTTTTTGCCCCCAGGCTCCCGGGCAGCCCTTCAAGTTCTCGGTTCTGGAGATCTGCGACCGCATCAAGGAGGAATTTCAGTTCCTGCAGGCGCAGTACCACAGGTGCGGGCGTTAGCGGCGGCGCAGGGATGAGGGTCCCGTTCCGGCGCGGGACTGGGGCTGCAGAGGAGCTGCCGCGGGGCGGCGGAGCCGTCAGCAGCTTTTTGCCCCCAGGCTCCCGGGCAGCCCTTCAAGTTCTCGGTTCTGGAGATCTGCGACCGCATCAAGGAGGAATTTCAGTTCCTGCAGGCGCAGTACCACAGGTGCGGGCGTTAGCGGCGGCGCAGGGATGAGGGTCCCGTTCCGGCGCGGGACTGGGGCTGCAGAGGAGCTGCCGTGGGGCAGGGGGGCTGCAGAAGTAGAGACGAGGTCTCCTAGGAAGGGGGTGACCAGGTCCAGGGTGCCGGGAAAGGAGGTGCCCGCACAGGAGGGCGGGCCGGAGCGAGCGCTGCGTTAGGGGCAGGGTGGGGAGGATGGTTCCGAAGGGGCGACGCGGGCGCCCGGGAGAGGGTCTGGCCGGAGGAGTCGAGCCAGGCTGCGGACTGGGGCCAGGTCTCGCGGGGGTCCCCGTGTCCCGAGGGAGCAAGAGCAACACCGGGCAGAGCCCCACGCTCCGGGTTCATCCAGAGACTCCGGGGCAATAGCGGGGTGCAGGGGCGACACCCCCACGGTGTCTCTCGGGCGGCGATGAGGGAGAAGGCGGGAGATGAGCTGAGTTCCCCGGGACCTGCGGGTGTGGGGCAACGCAGATGGGGCTCCCCGAGTGAAACCGCGGATCCCCGATCCCCTCCGCAGCCTGAAGCTGGAGTGCGAGAAGCTGGTGAGCGAGAAGACGGAGATGCAGAGACACTATGTCATGGTGAGTGCCCCGCCGCCCTCAGGCCTGGACAGGTCCCGGGCAGGGATCCGAGCCGGAGTCTGGCAGGGAACCGGCAGCAGCGGCCAAGCGGGTCAGGAAGGAGTTAATGTTCAGTTCACCCCTAGCAACGGCGGCTCCCCAGCGGGCTCGGTGCTCGGTGCTGTCTGAGCCCGGGCATCGCGACGCAGGTCTCTTCTGCTCCATTCTCTTTTCTTTTCCCTTTTCTGTTGGTCTCCTTCCTCCTCCCTGCCTCTTACCCGGGAGAGGATGTCTTGGAAGCGATGCCCTAGGGCTGGTGTTTTGGATGGGAGGGGAAACTGCCTCTAAAGAGAGCGGGGCAGGACCCGCTCTGGTGCTGGTGGTGCAGAAGGTGCTGATGGTGCTGAAGTGTTAACGGTGTTAATGGCCCACGGTCCTACCGGGCAGAGCGCGGGAGCGGGGCTAGTGCTGCTGACAGAAACCTGGGGAGATGGGAACTGGAGTAACGTTACCTCCCCTTCAGCACCTGGGGTTACCGGCCTCTCTGGGGAAAGGGAGAAACGAGAGATATTCCCCTTCCCGATGGCAAATAGGCAGCCCAATTTCGTGCTGATGGCAGCCCCGTTCCCGAGGCCAGGGTTGTTCCATTTCGGGCCTGAGAACCCAGTAACAGCAGTGAGTTCTGCTAGAAGAGGTTTTACAGTGGAGCGGGGGTGAACTTGGGATGTTAAACCTGTCTGTGATGGGCTGATTGCTTGGAGCAAATCCTAATGAGGCTGTGCTATGGTTTCCCTTTCAGTATTATGAAATGTCTTATGGGCTGAACATTGAAATGCACAAGCAGGTGAGTGAGCTGGGGTCTGCGTCAGTGGTAGGAAGAGAGACTGGTGTTGGGTCAATGTCCCTTGTTCCTGTTATCAGCATAGGAGACCTAGCAGGGATGTTGTGGGGGATCCCTGAGCAGTTGTCAGGATGTGGAGCTCAAGCAGCACCTCCCTCCTTGACCCTGCAGCCTCTGTGTGGTCTATCCCCTCTCCCTTCTCTCTTCTCCCTTCTCCTCTCTCCCTCCTCCTTTCCTTTTTTTTTCTTTTTTTTTTTTTCCTATCCCCTTTTCCTCTCCTGGAGCCAGAGGAGTGTTTTCACTCTTCCCAGTTCCCCTTTTGTTCCAGCATTAATTTGCTTTCCCTCTTCAGATTTATCAATCTAGTCATCACGGGCTCCCTGCCAGGGAAATTAGTTTGGACCGATGCCTGACAAAGTGGCAAGTCAACTGCCATATTCCTCCAGTTGGCTCAGCCTCTCCGAGTTTGCTCCTTTTGTGAGCAGGGGAGCTGCGAGGTCCTCAGCGCTCCCAGCTCCATTGCCCTGGGATCTAGCAATGGCCTGAGCCGGGGGGATGCTGAGTGCTTGGAGCAGGGTGCCAGGGCCCCAGGCGCCTGCTCCCGGCTGGGGAGCCAGGATGGGACCTCTGTGCCCCGGCCCTCGCTGTGCACAGCAGGCTGAGGGGGCCCCGGGGGGCTGGGCTGTCTCCCGCCATGTCCAACCGCGCAGGTTGGAGCTGCCTGGTGGGGGTGGAAGTGGGAGCTCCAGATGTGGCTGGCCTGGGATGGAGCAGGGATCGTACTGGTGCCGTGCAGGGCTTGCAGGAGGGCTGACGAGGCGGGGAGGGAGCTGAATTAATTGCTGTGAATCCCCCTTGTTTCCCATGGTGGCTCTCAGTTCAGCGCTGGGGAAAGGGAAGGCAGCAGAACATGGCCCGTTGCCAGCGCTCGCAGCTCTGCTTCTTCCCGCTGGCTCTGGGGGCGGCAGCCGCAAAGCCACAATGGTCTGGGATGAGCGGAGCCAGCTGGGCTGCGGCAGGACGGGCAGCGTGGGGCTGCCTTGGCCTGCTTCCACGGAGGGCCTGGGAGTCGCATTCCCTCCTGCGAGCCAGTTGTAGCCTGGGAGGGTCCTGGGGCCTGGCGGAGCCCTCGTTGGCAGGAGCTGGGGAAAGCCCAGCAGGGAAGGAGGCAGCAAGAGGACTTGGCTGAGATGGCCGCGTGGTGGGAGCTCGGTGCATCCGCTGTTCATCGCCAGCAGCGTCGGGAGGCGGTTGGGAGGGCTCCAACCCCCACAGGGTGATACCTGTCCCCACAGGCAGAGATCGTCAAGAGGCTGAGTGCCATCTGCGCCCAGATCGTCCCCTTCCTCACACAGGAGGTGAGTGGGGCTGGGTACCTCGGCTCTCCGCAGGCTCCTGGGAAGGGGGCCAGGATCCATGCCAAGGAAGGGGAGGGTTTTTGGGGAACCTCTGTGCCTGCACCTGGGGGAGGAGGCACCGACTCATGTCCCAGACCCCATCTGAGCTGCTGCAAGGCTGGGGCCACCAGCACCACGCAAGCCCCAGCTTCTCCTCCCAGCACCAGCAGCAAGTCCTGCAGGCCGTGGAGCGGGCCAAGCAGGTGACCATGGCAGAGCTCAACAGCATCGTCGGGGTGAGTCACCCGGGCCGGGCAGCCAGGTGCTTCCCTGCTCCTGGTCTGGGCTGCGCGGTGCAGTAGTGCGAGTGGGGCAAGGTCTTTCTACCCGGCCGAGCCTGGGGCGGGCAGCTGTGGCAACTGGGGTTTAACACCGCGTTAGAGGAAGGCAGAGAGCTCGGAGCTTCCCCGCACTTGTCTGAGCTGCGCAGGGGTTGCATCCCCAGCTTGGGTGGTGCGAGGGGAAGGTGAGGGCAGAGATCAGCGCAGCCCTGGCAGCTCTGCCCCCCTCATCCCATCACACTCAGCACAGGGGGCCGCCTCCTCCTGGCACCGTTGGCTCTTTCTCTTTCAGCAGCAGCAGCTTCAGAACCTCTCCCACCAAGCGCCTACAGTCCCGCTAGCACCTGGGGGAGGAGGCACCGACTCATGTCCCAGACCCCATCTGAGCTGCTGCAAGGTTGGGGCCACCAGCACCACGCAAGCCCCAGCTTCTCCTCCCAGCACCAGCAGCAAGTCCTGCAGGCCGTGGAGCGGGCCAAGCAGGTGACCATGGCAGAGCTCAACAGCATCGTCGGGGTGAGTCACCCGGGCCGGGCAGCCAGGTGCTTCCCTGCTCCTGGTCTGGGCTGCGCGGTGCAGTAGTGCGAGTGGGGCAAGGTCTTTCTACCCGGCCGAGCCTGGGGCGGGCAGCTGTGGCAACTGGGGTTTAACACCGCGTTAGAGGAAGGCAGAGAGCTCGGAGCTTCCCCGCACTTGTCTGAGCTGCGCAGGGGTTGCATCCCCAGCTTGGGTGGTGCGAGGGGAAGGTGAGGGCAGAGATCAGCGCAGCCCTGGCAGCTCTGCCCCCCTCATCCCATCACACTCAGCACAGGGGGCCGCCTCCTCCTGGCACCGATGGCTCTTTCTCTTTCAGCAGCAGCAGCTTCAGCACCTCTCCCACCATGCGCCTACCGTCCCGCTGGGTGCCCACCCGTCTGTGCCGCCGTCCAGCCTGGTTGGGGCCGGCAGTTCCGCGGGGCTCCTGGCCCTCTCAGGGGCCCTCGCGGCTCAGTCGCAGCTCGCGGCCAAGGAGGACAGAGCGGCCCCGGATGGGGAGAGCAGAGGTAAGGGGGGGACAGGCAGCTGGTGGGTGGGAGCCCATCCTGGTTTGTGTTCAGGTGGAGCAGGAGCTGAGGGGCTGGGGGGGTGCCCTTTACCACTGCGAGGCCACAGGGGACAGGTCTGTGGCCAGGAATTTAGGGATCTTTATTGCCCTTGCAGTGCCTCACAGATAGTGACAATCCCTCATCCAAGGTGCCCCCTCCTATCAGGATCACAAAGCAGTTTACAGACATCATCAATATTTACTCATCATTAAACGAGTTCTGTGAATACTACTGGCAGGCTTGGGCCAAATTATTAGCAGCACCCTGGTTGCCAGTGGCCTGTTGCTCTTGAAGCATTTTCTGAAGGAGGACCTTCTATGAGCTCAGGCACCTTCTACCTAGCACAGGCATTGGGGATTTGCCCTGGGCAGCAGGGCAGGGCCTTGGACTGGAATCAGGCCAGGAGGGTTTAGCAGCCTCCCTGGTCTTGCTCTGCCAGCCCATAAAGGTCCCTGCCAGGGCGTCTGGAAGTGGAATAGGACACGGTGGTGGCAGGGAAACTGGTCACCAGGGAGAGGGGGTGCTTCATTTTCCTAATGATCTGCTTTTGCTTGTATGATCTAAAGGTGATAAAAATAGCATCCGGAAATAGTCCCTGCATGTGCACGGCTGCCTTGCACCCGTATGCGCAGGTGTGCACAGCGTTAATTCTGTCAGTGTGGCTTTAAGGATGGCCTTCCCCCAGAGCAGAAAAACAAACTCCAGGAAGGATAAAGCAGGCTGGGCGCCTTCCTTAACCCTTCGAGACCCAGGCAGCCTCCGGAGCGCTTCCAGGGTCAGCTTGTGCTGTACGCGGGCTAGGGACGGCAAAGGGATGCCTGGGAAAGCATCTGGCCAGTGCCCAGCCAGGGCAGAGGGCACAGACACCCGCAGTGATTCCTCCTTAGAAACATCAGTGAAGCGCCACATACGGTTTAGGTTAATCCCTCGTGCCCCTGTAGCTACCCAAAGCAGGTGTGGGTCAAACTGAGCCTGCTCTGCAGGGATGAGCCCACGCTTCCAGCCCCTCTCCTCCTTCCTGTGCCTCGTCCTGACCGAGCCCTGTGCAGCCGCATGTGTTGAAGCCCGGTGTCCCCAATACCTTCCTGCCCCATTCCTGAGCATCTGTCCTCCCGCTGGGGCCCAGGACCCCTATATCCTCTCCAAATGCTGATGTGCTCATTAGGAGTGAAAAGCCGCTGGGGAGCAATGCCAGACCCCATCTGATAACCCGCTGTGTAGGTTTGCGAGCAAATGTCTGACTCTCCTTCCCTGAGCTCAGGGAGATGGAGCTGTTTCTTTTTGAGCTGCATGTGAAAAAGCCTTGATCAAAGGGTCTCTGAGCAGGGCTCTTTAGCATGGCTTCCCAGGGAGATGGGGTGGGTATGACTCACGAGGCCTTGGCGAGTTTGTCTGCTTGTCGCTTCTTAATAAATTTGGGACCTGGTGGCTAATTCCAGCCTAGAGATTTCAAAGCTCTAATAAGTTTTTTTTGAAAGTAGGAGGCTGCATAGATTCCTCCCTGTTTCTCCGAGAGAGACCAGTGTGCTCACCTCCTGTTAGACATCAGAGAATCCATACAGCACGTGGGCAAAGTGGGAATTTGGGCATGATTTGTCAGCCTGATCCCCTCTGTCTGCTCTGGCTTCATGGTGCCCCTTCTTTTCCTCCCCATTCTGCTGTGGCACTAACAGCCTCTTCCTTTTTCCTTCCCTGTGCCACGGTGATGTGCCCGGATGCTGCCGTGCAGCCGCCCGGACGCCGGAGCGCACCCCGAGCCGGGTAGGTCACAGCTTTGGCTAGTGTGCCCAGTCCTGCTCCCCGGCTCTCCTGGGGCTTGTGGGGCCTTTGTCCCAGATCTCCTGCTCCAGGGGGAGGGAAGCAGAGCTGGTTCAGAGATGCCAAGCTGGTGCCAGCTCCTGCAGGGACCTTTGTGCTGCTGGAGAAAACCTGGTCCCGGGGAGGCTGGAAGTAGCGGGACGAGCTCTGCACTCAGTGGCCCAGACTGGCACAGGGGCTGCTTGTGTTGGAGCACTGCAGCCTGCTCCCTTTGCCAGCATGCTTGTAGGATTCCCAGGAATGTTTTGTTTCCTGACCTTTGGAAGTAAACAGTCTGGACATAATGGAGCTGCTCTCCTCTTTGGTGGCAGCCTGAGAGGCCGAGCTTCAGCTTCAGTTGGTTAAGCAGCCCCTGTCCTGGGAATCACTGGCATTGCGGGTCGGGTGGTAGTGGGAGGTAGGGAAATGGTCTCCCTGTTGCACCTATAGACCAGACTGTGGGGCTGGGGCCATGGAGCTGCACCTGAACAAGCGGCAGCCCCAGTTTGGAGGCGGCACCGGGGCAGAGCAGGCAGTTCCTCCTCCCCCATAACCCGCCGTTGATCCTTGTCCCCGGCTCGACCGCGGGCGCTGCGGG